GGTGTTTAGTCCAATGCCGTACCGCGCCATCTCCCGTCGGATGCGGTCCAGGGTGGCCAGGTCGGTCATGTGGTGCGCGGCGGCGGTGAGTAGAGCATTGAAGGTATAATGGTCGGGTGTCAATGGCGGCTGCCGTACAGCCCCCGGAGGGATCTCCACCGCGGCGGTGCCGCCGCCGCCGGCGGCGGCATCCGATCCGCGCACGGGTATCGTCGTACGGAGGCAACCTGCTCCGCAAGAGAGAGGGAGAGAGGCGGGGTGTGGTGGGAAAAGGGGGTTGAAGTTGGCGTTTGAAGAGTATATCCCGCCTTTGGAGGTTCCCCCAGCAGCGCGTGTCGGCATCGCACCGCTCGATTAGGCTCTGAACTTCCATTTCCCCCCCCCTCTCCCCCGACGCACCACGAACCATCTCGTTATAGAACCCTAGCAGCTCCGGAAGCGGCCTGCAGAGGATGCCGTACAGTACGGGATTTACAGCGCCCTTGGCTGAGAGCACAGGTTCAGCGTTTCTTTTTCATGAGGGGGCTGGCCCTTGAGCTGACGTACAACGTAAAGAAACACTTTTGTTGTTGTTGAGAAACCGGTTTGTTGTGCACGTGAGTTCAGCAAGGCAAGGCATGGCAAGGGATGGGATGGGATGCCAAGATCCGACCAGATGAATCCGACACGACTTCACAGACACAAGAACGCGGTGGTGGTTTCGTAAAGGATAACTTCGGGAAGATGCGCGCGTCTACATGACACGCATTTTCTCTCTCCCTCTCTCTCTCTGTACCTACTACAACTCTCTCTCTCCCCCTCTAAAAAAACTCTGTCAAATTCCAACATCTCAAACCCTAAGACACCGAGATCAGCACGGCGTGTCGAGGGGGCCCCCCTGCCGGCGGACCTGCTCTTCGCGAGCCCAGCCAGCAAGATGTTGTACACCTCCCGGTTCGGCAGCAGACCGAGCTCTGTGAAGCCGGCAGCGAAGAAGCGCAGGGCCAAGTCGGGCTGCCCGGTGCGGAAGGCGCCGCAGATGAAGTGGCCCCACACCTTTAAATAAATAAAACAGGGGAGAGGTGGGGGGGTTGGGGGGGTTGGGGGGTTGTGTTTGCGTGTCAAGAGGTTCGACACAGTTGCCACAAGCGCACCACGACGTATGTCACCCAGGTGAGGGGGGGAATATGTGTCCTAATATGTATGTATGTATGTATGTATGTATGTATGTATGTATGTATGTATGTATGTATCGTTACACATCAATCTGGGCACACACACATACATACACACACACGTTGCGGTGTTATGACGACAGCACGAACACGTCATCATCTGTAAAGAAGACATACGAAGGCGCAAATACATACATACATACATAGACACACACATAGACACATGCTGTACGGCAGACGAAAACACACACACACACACACGCGCGCGCGCCTACCCCCTTGCTGAGCCGGCCCTCCCCCTCCCCCGGGGACAGGGGCCGCGGTCTCCCTAACGCCCGTTCAGCCGCCCGTTGCGCCGCCGCCATCTCGTTGAAGAGCGACGGCAGCAGGTCCCCCCGACCGGCATTTACCGCCGCGCGAACCAGAGCTGAGAATGTGTACGAGTCCGGGCGGCAGTCTTCGCGCGCTGGCCGGCCGCTGCCGCTGCCGTCTGCCTCCGCTTTCATCATGCTGTATATCAGCCGTGCATCGTCCAATGCGCCGTGTTGCGCGGCGATGTACGTCATGCAGTTGTACGAGTACTTGTTGAGCGTCATCTGGATAAGCGGTTAGGGAAAACGGTTGCAGTTAGTTATATACGGTAATCGGTGTTAATACTTACTTCGTAGTGTGGTAAATTCAGAGCTCGCCCATCCTACCAACGCAACATATATTTGCTGATATAGGAGGACCCAAATCGAGAGTGGTCTACGAGACCGCGCCGGGATCATCCAGCCTTCACCTCCCACAGCCCAGACGTGTCGGCCAGCCAGCCAGGCGGTTCTCCCCCTCCCACTTCCATCCAAACCTGATTTCTGGCCCACACACCCCCGAGCCCCCGCCAGAGAGAGAGACACACACACACACGTACACACACACACGTACACGTACACACACACGTACAGTCACACACACACACGTACACACACACGTACACACACACACACACACACACACACGTACACACACACACGTACACACACACGTACATACCTCATGTACCACCATTTGGTCAAACAGCTGCCAGGCAAGTTTGGCATTCCGTTCCTGAGACGCGATGTGGAGCAGCACCGAGCAGGCCACAGGACCCAGATCGCGACCCGACCTGAAAAACAAGATCCAACAAAAAGGCATCGAGATCCGAAGTTTTAAATACGAAACTTTAAACATATTAGAAAGTATTTTCATCTAAAAAAAGGAATTACGAGAGCGCGGAAGGAAAACGTTTCCAAATGATAAAAAAATGGAATGGTTCATAATGCGAAAGGGAACGCCTAAACGCTAAAAGAAAGAATTTGATACAGCAGAGGGATCTTTGCATATATTACCAAAATACAAAACGCCAGGCGTCGCGTTCCACCGCGTTCCAAAAGCTTATATGGCTATTGGCAGATGACGACTCCAAGTCATGCACAACTCACGCACAGCCCTACCACCAACCTGCACGCCTCCTCGAACGCCGCCAGCGCCACCCCCAATCGCCCGGCTCGGTGGAGGGCGCGGAAAGCAGTGCCGTACGTGTGCTCGTTGTACAGGCCCAGCGCCACTTGCAGCGTCAGCAGCCTACTGAGCGCGTGCACGTGACCCATCTCACCAAGAGCCTGTCAGGAACGACCAACGGCGCGAGGGAGTTGGAAGTTTGAAGTTGGGCGTTGGACTTTGAGAAAAGTAGAGCGTTACCATTAACATTCTCACATACCTAATATATATATACCCGCACAATATGTCTGTACACACGCACATAATACATACATACATGCATGCATGCATGCATACGCACCTGAAGGACGAAATTGATAGCGGTGACGCCCGTCCTGTTTATGACCGAGAGCTGCGGGCAGTAGCAGCAGCAGCAGCAGTAGCGGGCAGGGTTAATGTGCGTGGGGAAGGGTGGGAGGGAGGATCCCAGCGGCCAGCTGGATGAGGGGGGAGGGCCTCTGAGCGCGTCGTGGGAGCATGTGGGGGGGAGGAAAACCCCAACACCCGCGGCGTCACCCGCGGCAACCACCCGTACATCACCCGTACATACCGTAACAACCAACCAACCTGCCGCAATTCCTCCCTCCTGATGCAGGCCCCCCCCTGCAAATGCCACACACACACACACACACACACACACCAGTCCCCTGATGCATCCCCCCGGGGTAGAAACCCCTTAGTCTTCCCCCATTCCCCTATTCCCCCGACTGCCCTTCACCTCCCGCCCCAATCCCCCTAGCCGCCCCCGTGTTCCCCTCCCCCTCACATATCTACCAAAAACCGCAACACCCACACCTCACATAGTACCTCTATTCTC